AAAATATCTTATTAATCTCAAAGGAAAATTAAATAATAAAAGTGCAAAGTGATGTAGCTAGTCCCAAAACTACAAAAAGTCTGAGTAGATTTCTGTACTAAAATAAAAGCATTTAAGAATAATAAATTAAAGTAAGGAAAACAAAAATCCAGTCAGATGTTTGGGAGTGGGCTCTGTCCTGATTCATCAGAGTGAAGGAACAAGGTTACACCTCTCAGCTCAACAAGCAGCTGGAGGCAGTTTTACAAACAAACACGTGAATAGGTGCCCCAAAAGTGTCTCAGCTTTTCAGTGTCATAAAAACAGACGATTCTGAATCACTATGTTTAGGTAATGATGCTACTAAAGCTGACAGCGTTTTGTCTGAAGAATAAAAATAAATGGACAAACATCATCTGCACAATTGTGGCACCTGAAAGACTTAAAGGTTGAATAAGAGAAGCACAGACCTGTACCACAGGCCTTGTACTTGGTGCTGTGTCCATGCAAGAGCAGAGTAAAGACCAGGACCAGGATGAGGATGAGGCCCACCAGAGCCATCACCAGCAGGAACCACCACTCTTCATAAAAAGGACGCTCTGACAATGCTGCACGCAGAGAGATGGATTAGGACATTAAACATGTCTGATTTATTCTTGATTCTATCGAACATATAATGCTACAAAAGTGAATTTAACAATATGCTTGCTGCAATATTTGCTGGTCTATTTTGTATACGGTCACAGATGTCAGTTTAAAATTTCAAATGTATACACATTTAAAGAACCTCAGTGTTTATTCTTAACTCTTTAGTGCAAAAAAACTGATTGAAAATCAATTTATTCACTGCATGTTTATGTCTGTCTGTGTAAGGCTGAGATGGAACTGCACATAAAAACATCCCTTTAAAGCAGGGGTGCTCAAGTCCAGTCCTCGACAGCTACCATCCTGCAGCTTTCAGATGCTTCCCTGCTCCAACAAACCTGAATCAAATGAATGGTTCGTTATCAGACCTGTTCAGAGTTGATCCTGGTCTGTTGGAGCAAGAATGCTTCTAAAAATTGCAAGATGGTAACTCTTGAGGATTGGACTTGAGCACCCCTGCTTTAATTATTCAGACTACCAACACAAAAGAGACACAATCAAAACTGACTTATTACCCTGCGATAACTCAGAAATAGTCCAAATAGTTTTAATAAAAAGTATTTTTTTATTTGTTTTCTTCTTACGGAAAATTTCTGTTTATATCATAGGTTTGTGGTGCATTTCTATCCAAAAGAAAAAGATATAAAACTTCAGATATTTCACAACGAGATATTAATATGCATGGAAAAACCTCACAAAAGCCTTATATTATAGTAGAAAGTACAATGGCCACCGTAAGAATGGCTTACAGTATTCAATTATGCCTCATGAACTGATCAGTACATTATTGTGAGGGAACGCAAAAGAAAAAAAAAAATCCCCATCTCCCAACTTGGCCATCTGTAAAACAGAAAAAAAATAAAAAGCTATACCCCTGGGATAAAACAAAGATGGAAAATTACCCAGCCACACATTACTATCAAGAAATTATTTAAATACCAGTCTCCATAATATGATTGCAAAAATATTTCAGATAATTTGTCATCAATTCTGTGAATTTATATTTTCTTCAGAGCAAAAGCTGTCCAAACATCATAGTAGACGATGCTTTGCAATTTGTGAAAAAAAAAAAAAAATCACATTGATGTACTTTTCCCCCAAAATTATTCAAACAAATCATTGTGGCAATATACTTATATTAAAGATCCAAGTGACTCCAAACCACTTTTAATAGCAATGGATACCAACATCAGGGCTTTTGCTGCTCCAGCATAAAAAAAGTCTTTTGTATTTACACTAAATGTCCTTTTCTGACATTAAAATTTGCTTAATGTTCTGAAACACATTAGTGGGACAAAAAGAAACAAAAAATGTCAGGGGGAAATTTTTTTAAAAGGGCAGTATTGTGTATTTTCCAGGCATAGTGCCATATCATGGCACAATCAAGGAACTATGCTGCCGTCACTTGTTATAAAAATGCTATGCCTATCAAATATGACTTAAAAGAAATTCAACTTCATAATTTAATGCCTTGAAATTGGGCCTTTGTCTCATTAAAAACTCCTGCTCTTTCTGAAACTCAGGAACTCATCACAACATGGCTCCTCTATTAACCCTGAAACAACGTTTTTGCCAAATGAAATCAGACTTTGCAGATGCACAGTTCCATCAGGTGTTTACTAATTGCTGCTAGCCAGTCTGAAGGAGGAAGTTGCGGGGAGGTCTGCTCTTTGAGGAGGTACAATTGCATTCAACTATTCAACTGCATAAACAGTTGAATGGTTGCCGTGGGAGATTTGAAGGATTTCTTAAACATGGATGAAAGAAGGGAACACTCCCGGTATGTTTTTAATGAAGGATTAACATTATAACCTCATGTAAAGCACAGAAAAGTAATTGACTTTACATAACTTTGCCCCTTTAACAGCACAGTAGTGTTTTTTATTTTATTTTACACTCATTCAGGATATTGTGTATTTAGAATACAAAAAGTAAAATGCTGCAGCAAATCCTTTGAAAATAAAGACAACTCTAAGTGTCTGTTCCTCTGATCTTTTCATCAGAAGCGCTAACTAAATGTTGAAAGATAACTGATAAGCATCTGAGGTTAGATTTCTGTTTGACCTGTTACACAGGCTGCAGCTGAAGCAGTTCTGCCTTTACGTAGAGGCAAAAGCCCAATCACCTCAGTATCGTCCTGTTCTATGCTGCATCCATCAGGCTGGATCTACTGTAAACTTTCCCAGCATTATCTCCAGTGGTGTGTGTTTACCAGCAAGAGCCACGGAGGGTGCGCTTGGCTGTCCGTAACCATAGCGATTCACAGCAATGACTCTGAACTCATAGCTGACCCCTGACCTCAAACGCTCCAGTGGCACGGAGACGGACCTGCTGGCTGGAGGGAGGAGTCGGATGAAGGAATCCCAGACTCCCTCATCTACAGGAATACAGGTTTCATTAACACAAGTGGATGGATAGAACTGTTAGCTGTGAGTAAGAATGATACATTTTAGATGGTAACAATATTGTGGTGGAGGCAGTAATTGCTGTTACGGTTTTTAATAAAGAGGCTTATTCATTGTTAGCAGAAGAAAAATTCAATCAAAGACTACAATTGCTCTCCTGCAGAGTGGTGAAGCTCTTTCCTTTCCTGCATTACACACACACCTACACACACACGCACCCATGTGCCCACACACTCACACACACACACGCACGCACGCACGCACGCACGCACGCACGCACGCACGCACGCACACACACACACACACGCACACAGATCTTTAATTGTGCCTGACTTGATTTGCACCATGGGATATGCAGAGACTTGCCACTCAGAACAGTTTAGTTTGAGTAAGTAAAAGAATCAGTGCAGACAGTGCAAAGGTCGAAGCAATGAGCAACAGAGCTCACCTGAGGGACGCGCCTCCACAACGTAACCAGTAACAGGAGCTGCACCCATGTCTCCCTCTGACCAGTGGATGGTGAGAGCAGATGATGTCTTGGTGATAGACATTTCCACCGGTGGCCCAGGGGACCCTTTAGTATCAAAAGAACACATTCACATGTAGACATGGTACTGATTTGTGTTGTTTTCCTGGGAATCAACCCACAGAAATTAGTTTAATCCTACCTATAATTTATTAGCAATGCATAATACATCGGCACTAACATCACTATCGACTGGTATTAGTCATTTTTTAACATATCAGTATTGGTCCGATAAATAAAACTGGCCTGATAATAACAATAAGTATTAATTTCCACTTTGTTTCCATTTGTGTCAGGAGGGGAAGGGGCAGAGGTTGGTACTTCACGTTTGGTTCAATACAATTCAATACATTATCCTGTGTTTCTTTAGATAGAAACCTTTCAATATGTTGAGTGATTAACTGAGCATACTGCACTGTTTGATAACTAGGATCAATTGGAATGTATATGTGATTAAATTGAAATATTTTTTTGTAAAATGCCTTGAAATGACATTTGTTGTAAACTGGCACTATATAAATATAGTGAATGATTAATTGTACTGGCCAAAACCTTGTTGGACATTTGTAAGGAATGCTGAAAACAAAGAAGAATGGAGGAACCAGTTTAAATGAGCAACCATTTCTGCCAAGAACAGGTCAAAAATAGCCCAGCCCAGCCCAGCCCAGCTTATCCGGGGTCAGGTTGCGGTGGTAGCAGCCTAAGAAGGCTCTTTCCTTGTTCCAGCTCCTCCAGGGGAATCCCAAGGCATTCCCAGGCCAGCTGAGAAAACATAGTCCCTCCAGCGTGTCCTGGGTCTTCCCCAGGGTCTCCTACTGGTGGGACGTGCTCGGAACACCTCACCAGGAAGGCGTCCAGGAGGCATCCTAACCCCAAGCCACCTCATCTGGCTCCTCTCGACGTCAAATACCCAATTACACTTAATTTCTGGTGTGAAGTAATGTTAACTTTTGGGAGAGTCCAGATTTGAATCTGAAGGAGAATCCAAAATGGAAACTAAAGTCTCCTCCTTATTTTATTTTAAAAATAAATGTAAAATAAAATCTGCTGGGGGTATGAATAATTTTGGACTTAACTGTATACCTTGGGACCCATATTTAAAGGTTACTTGTATGTAAACTTTATACCCTTATATTGATAAAAAACATATATTTTTGCAGGTAAAGTCAAATCTTAATTTAAAAAAAAAAATTCAGCTGGTGATAGTATCTTTTGGTGTTTTGCTTAACAAAACACCAAAAGATACTTTGAACGTTTAATACTCTAAATAAAATAATTTGAGTTGAAGCAAAGTCTAAAGTGACAACATGTAGAGATTTCTGTCAGCTCTGCTCACCTTTCACAGGTCGAGCTGTGATGTTTGCTTCCACTGCTGATCCGTAGCTGACTGTGAGAGCTTGAACCCCAAACATATACGTTGCTCCTTTGATCAGATCTCGAACTTTTAGCCATCGCTGCCAGCTCCCTTTCACATCAACTGTCACCACTTTACTCACTCCTGCAGATTTTTGAGGAGAAACCACTTTGTAACATCAGACATGCCCTTCAATGAGTGAGTGTCTGTTTTTGTGCATACCTTGTACAGGAGCGGTGGGCTGATAGATGACCCGGTAGCCTTCTACTTGTCCATTGGGAGTGAGTGGAGCTCCCCAGGACACGTTGACACTCCCCCCCGTCACTTCAGAGAAGGTCAGGTAGCTTGGCTGGCTGGGCGCTGCGGAACAAACAGACCAGGGAGATCAGAGAACACGCTGCCTTACAGTTTAGTTTTCAGGGAACTGAGTTGTAACGAAATTCCTACCAGACTGCAGGGTCCGTGCCCCGCGGGGGTCACTGGGAGGTCCATCCCCAGCAGTGTTAAAGGCAGTCAGTGTGACCATATATGGTGTATAGCTGGTCAGGTTTGTGAGGTGAACACAGGTATCTGGGACAAAAATCACCTTCATCTTCTCAGTCTGGTTCTGGTTGTCTCTTTCCCAGTAATGAATCTGGAACACAGTGAACAATAGATTCATACTGCTGCCGTTCCAAAAAAACCTTGTATTCAGCCTCATTCAAACTGAAAACCCTAAATATAACTCAGTGCAACCAAGTGCTTTAAAATTCACCTAAATTGTAAATCTGTGTGTAATCTAGTTTTAAGGATAAATCCAACTGTACAGTAAAGGTTACCCAAATTTGGGTCCTCTCGTGAATGACAACCTATGAATGACAGGTTAAACAGCTCAATCCAGCTCAATCCTTCATATGGAAATTTGAAGAGCATGGAACAACTAACTATACGTTAAGTGATAAAACATCTACATTTTTTATTGTGTTTACACGGCCCTAGTGTAGCCCAGACATAGTAAAGAGTAGACCTCAGATTGACTTCTCGGGCACAGGAAATATGGCGGTCATCTTGGAGCGGTCGTCCCTCCTACTTGGCTAAACCACAACAGCACTGCAGGAAATCAATGGATCAATGGACTATTGATGTGAGAGCTCAGGGGATGACATCTGCTTTAGGAACATTTTTGGTCATTTTTAAGAAACTAGCAAATTATTTCTGTTTTTTTGGGTTTCAAATAATGAAAAACATACAACTGTTGTATGTTTTTTAGGTTAATATTTGTTGAAAATTATGCTAAAAAGCATATACTTTACTCCTTAATGGCAAGAAAAATATATTTCTGGTAGTTTTGGTGTCTCTGAAGATTTTCTTTGACACATGTCACTTTTCTGAAGCCTAGCTTTTGAGTCAATTTTGTCTTTGAGCACTTTAGCACCCTTATTTTTTTATCTCAGATAAACTATACAGGAACTGCAAATTAATTATTGTCTGATGTGCAGCCAGAAGGTGATACTGTGGTGTTTATAGAGACTGATCCAGAGCCAGTCTTTTATTAAAGAGAATGGTTCATAAAGGTGTACACAAAGAACAGAGAAGCAAGACAGTACAAAAACAAACATGCACATATAATCATAATGATGTGCTGAAAAGCACAGTGTAATAATTAATACAAGATGTATTTGGTG